AAAAAACGGTTAGGCCCACTGCGCACACCGCTCAAATACGGGGCGGATCTACCTCGGGGCCGCAAAAACAAACAATTCACGCATTAAGGCGTTTGACGATGGCCGGGATCGTTGGGTCCCACGCAGCGGCAGTCGCCACGCCCCGCAACCACCGGAGGCCTCGCGTGGAAGACGTCTGCGGCGGGGGCTGCGGCGGGAGGAAAAAACCGGACTCCACTCGCCACCCCAACGCGCCACCGCAGAAAACAAACCAAAAAACACACGCACAAAGAAATCGCCCCACCATTCATTCAGCCTCGTCGAGGGGCGTTTCCCTCCGCACAACTCTACAAAAAATTAATAAATAAAAAGGGAGAGGCACAAGACAAGCCCGCTCGCAGAACAATTTATTTACAAGGCGGGAGGCACGGGGACCGTCCCACAGAAGGCCGCACCGCCGTCGCTTGCGCCCCACAAACGAAGGAGCTGCCACCCGTGCCAAGCTACGTGGACGCCTACAACCGAATCCTCCTCCCCGGCACGCCTCCTTCCGTCGTGGACGGCGACGCTCAAACCTAAAAAACAAAACAACAACACACTGAAAACAAAACGCTGAGAATAAAACAAAACGGCCAGCAGTGAACGTAAACAAATGGCACACGCGAGAGGCAGTGCGATGTCATTGTGCTCCGCCCACGTCACGGCGGCGACCCTCGCACCTTCTTCCCTGCGCCCCCAATTCGCACCATCGCCGGGATGCTCATTGATACACGGAAAGCACAACAGAAGGGCATCGTGGACGGTAAACACAGCGGCGGCGCAGGCAATGACGACAGTCCACCGGACTCCGCTCTTGCAGCAACTCCACCCGCTTCCGCCTCGCACCGTCTGCCGCGTGGAGAGCCGACCTGGGGACCGCGCAGTCACCCAACAGAGAAACAAAAACCAAACCGAAACCTCAACGCGCACTGCGCACTGCGCACCCGCACCAGCTCTCGCAACACCCACATTCATTTGTCGTATCCCACTGATTGCGTCAGGACTGATGACCGCACACACAAAAAAAGTATAATATTTTTACGAACCAAACTTCATCCAACCCCACGTAAACACACATCTACTACTCGGCACCGCAGCATTGCTGCACAAGCCACGCGCCGCCTGCATCTCTACCCCAATGAAAACCCACAATGCGCGTGCCTATCGTGACTCCATTGTCTCCAGACCATCCCCATTCACCACGCTTCCGGAGGTCACACCGCGCCGCACCCTCCTCGTGTTCCTATGAAAGGCATCATCTGCATCTTCAGCAATCTCCTCGCCCCTTGGAAACCCCACACCTGCAAAAGCGCCCGATGCAATGTTTTCGCAACTATGGCTTCCTGACAGCCTCAGCGACTGGGAAGCGTCTGCTGCGGGTAGTAGGCGCGGCGGAAACTTCAAAAGGTGCTGCACGTTGTGAAGGTGACATCCAGCAATTCCGCTGCACCACATACGGCTGCGCATGGGGAGGACGCATGAAAACATCGGGGTTCTCAGAGAAACCCGAGCCTCCTCGCCGCCTCTGTGGGATCCCATACACCGCATTGCGGCTCACCTCCTGCAATTCCATGGACGCCGTCCCCGTGGATTCATCACTGGTACGACGACAGCAACAGCATACGATGACAATTAGTGCAATCAGAGCGAGAAGCGCCAATCCGGCAATAAGAATGACGTACCAGTTATCCTGCACCCACGGCACCACCTCCGGCAACGTCGTCACCTCAATGATTCCGTCTTGCACCTCACATACAATGCCGAATGCCTCACGAGGCGTATCATGGTTATCCTTTGCATTCTCTGTCCCATCGTACCACGTTGCCGTCGCCCCTTCCTCCGTCAGATCCAGGCGAGATATTAAGTAAATTCGACCGTGTGCAGGGTAACCTTCGCGCCAGTAATCGGTGTACCCGTTCAGTCGGCCTGTGCCAGGGATGGAGTGCAGTGCACCTCTGAAAAACGGAACACCATGATATTTCCTCTTCGTGTCTGCAAACGCACCCCGAGTCCACTCAAAAATGCAGTTCAAGAGTGTCTTACTATCCGCTGGAACACACACCTTGTCAGGGTTCTCCTCCCAATAGCAGCTGTTGTAGGCATCACCGCCCATGTACGTGAATACCTGCTTATTGGCAATGTCTCCCACCTTCCTCAAGTAATCCGTGATGGAGTCATGTGCAGCATGGTGTTTGATCCGCAGTAAGAACGCCTCCATTTATTTGACACCTGCTCCAAGACGCTTCGTAATCCTTCACACCGTAATCGCCATTACCCAACTCCGAATTAGGGAAGCTGAAATATTTCTTGATTTTAACGACCACGTGTTTGTATTCTCCCGCCGCGGTGAAGGAGGGGTGGCTGCCCAGGCACTGCAGCAGCAGCAGCAGCGCCATCCACCGGACGACAGTCCTCACCGCGGAGAGAGCCCGCATTCCAACTTCGGCCGCCATCATATACCCGCTGCGTGGAACGATGTGTGTGTGTGTGTGTCTACCGTCTGTGTTCGCGGGGTGGAGACAAAGTGAGGGAAAGAGAGGTGCAACGCCAAGACGGCCCCACCCCACAGAGACATCAGGCAAACAAAAACAAACAAATCTGCGTGGTCCGCGTTGCTCGCTGCGGCTGCATGGGCACACCAGCGCCCAGCGAGTGAGCAGCGCAGGCACGGCTGCCCTCCCCCCCGCGCTGACGCACACCGCCCGCTGCGTGGGGGC